CACATTGACGACCTGCATGGCCAATCCTCTCGTGAATATCCCGTATGATTAATTCCGGAATTCGCCCTTTATTTGGAATGATCAAAGGATGTTTACTTTCATAGGCCACGCCCATCGCGTGCCCTAAACGACCTCCTACTCTCAGAAGACCATCCTCCAACGTGGGGTCCAAAGACACAAGGCTGCTGGACCGCCGCACTTCCCGTCCTGCTTTCAGATTCTCTACCTCCTCCGCATAGTACTGACCCTGAAGTTCCCTGATGATAATATTCTCGGCTGACTTTAGCTCTGTTACAGTCAGCTCTGATGCTCGTGCTGATTTCTGTTTACCAGCCAATGTGTCTATAACGCGTCGTACCCACGCAACTGCTCTCTTCAAACGCTGCCACGAGGAATAATGATCAATCAATTTTTGAATGCTCGAATTCTTTTGAATCTTTGTTTCATTTTCTGTTCGGCTGTTTAATGCAACAGTGGTCACTCTTAGTTCAGGGTCCTCTGCATTATCTTCTAAGACAGGGAATCGGGGCCATTTCTCCCGTGATTCAAGTAGAAACGATGGACCTTGACGCCACATACACTCTTTGAGAAGGGTAGTTCCATCGCACCCGCGTGACAAAATGTCGGCTGGGTTTAACTCCGAAGGAACCCATCGCCATTGGTCTATTGAAGAGCCGTCTCGTATAACTGCCAAACGATTTGCCACGAACACATGAAATCGCGCTGCCTCATTCTGTATATATTTCAACACTGTAGTGCTATCAGTCCAGAAGAAGATGTCTGGCTTAAAATCGAATGGAAACGCTCTTTGTATTTCTAAATTGACTTTGACAGCTAGTGTTGCAGCAGAAAGCTCCAGCCTTGGGATACTGAGAGGCTTAATTGGTGCTAAATGGGATTTGCTGACCAAAAGATTGCAAGACAGTTGACCGTCTCCATTGACGGCTCGCACGTACGAGGCCACCCCGTACCCCCTTTCGCTGGCATCCGAAAAGTGATGCAGCTCGAGGAGGACGGCAGAGGAAAGGCCACCGAAACATATGCACCTGGGAAGACTATACTGGGATAGACATTCTAGATCTGCTAACCATTGCTTCCACTGTCTGTGGTAGTGGGATGGCACCTCATCGTCCCAACCTAAACGAAGGCGAGTCAGCTCTTGTAAGAGCATTCGGGCCCGCATTACATACGGACCAACATGCCCCAGTGGATCATAAAGACCTGCTGTGGCGGACAGAAGCCCTCGTCTTGTGACAGGCTTGCCCCGAAATTTTTGCAAGTCAACTTGATATTCTAAGCGATCAGAACGAACGTTCCAGCCAACGCCTAAGGCTCGCTCAGAAGGCAAAGTATCTGATTTCAAATCTAGTGTTTGGATACCGGGCGAGTAGTCAACTTCTGGAATGGATTTCAAAACTGTAACGCTATTGCTAACAAACTTGGTGAGATTAAATCCACCTCTCAGACACAATTGCTTAAGATCAGATGCCAGCTTCACAGCAACATCTTCTTTTCCAGTCGATGCAAGACAATCATCCACATAAAAGTTATTAAGAACTGTCCTAGACACCAATGGGTCGTACAACCGTTCATTGTCTAGAGCGGTGCGACGAAGCGCAAAATTTGCACAGCTAGGAGAGGAAACAGCGCCAAAAAGATGAACTGTCATCCTATATTCCTTAGGATTCGAGGCGATGTTTCCATTGGGCCACCATAGGAAACGCAAAAAATCACGTTGTTTCTCGGGAATCCTCACCTGTAAGAACATACCCTCGACGTCCGCCATGAAGGCAACGGGTTCTTGTCGGAAACGAAGTAGAACATCTGTCAGGGTGTTGGTAAGGTCAGGTCCTTGTAAAAGCTCCTCATTTAGACTTTTTCCTTGAAAGGAGCTAGCGCAGTCAAAAACAACGCGTAATTTGCCTTTCTTAACAGGGTGTTCGACTCCGTGATGGGGCACAAACCATATCCTACCTTCTGCATTGCTCGAGAGATCGGGAGCTCTTTCAGCGTAGCCGTTGTCTAACAGTTTATCAATTTGCTTGGCATATTCTCTCAAGAAATGGGGCTGATTCTCGAATCTGCGCTTCAGTTGCACAAGGCGCCTATAAGCCACAGACTTATTGTTTGGAAGTTTAAGACTTGGATCACGAAACGGCAGGGCTATTTCGTACCGACCATCTATCAGCTGGCACGATGCCTTTACCATTTCGTGCCACCTAATGTCTTCTGCGGACAGACCCAACCGATATTCAGCCCTATTACCATAAACGTCGTCAAGAGCCACTTGCAATTGGTTAACTTTCAGACGAACTGGAGAATCCTTATCAACCCCACCTAGGACCCATCCGAACCTGGTTCTCACGGCGAATGGCCCGCCGTTCTGACTGGGAACCACCTCAAACGGCTCCATCACCGCCGCCACATTATTCCCAAGTAGAAGGCCTACGTCGTGCTTAAAGTTTTCTTCTAAGTATACCCCGTTTTGTCTCAAGTACGGCCATTTGTTTAAATCTCTAACGTTCGGGGCATCCTCGATGGACACTGGGATCTTATTTAGAACAAATAACGGAGGAAGTTCTAATTTATTGTTGTGTTGTAAATCCTCCATGGTAACCTTCGAAACAACGCATGTTTCAAATTTGTGATCTGTGTTGATAGTAGAAAGAGTAATTGAAGTACTTTCGGCTGGTTCAACCCCTAAACTAGCGAGTAAATTTCTTGAAATGAACGAATGTGTGCTGCCGGAGTCCAAAAAGGCAGACGTGAACTTCGTCACCCCGAATAACGTAACACACACTGGTACGACTTGCAATTTTGCTCCTCCACTTGATGCAAGATGGCCCAAAGTGACTGTTGAGAGTGGAGTTTGTTTTCGGTCAAAATGAAGGATAGTTGGGTGCCGACTCCCACATTCTGTACAAATCTTTTTATTTTCACAATATTTGCTTAAATGATTCGGTAACAAACAACCAAAGCAAAGCTTATTTGACCGTATAAACGTCATGACATCTCTGCTCTGCATTCTCAACTCGGGACACTCGGCGACTTCATGATCCTGCTGACAATAAAGACACGAGGAGTGATGAGAGCTGACGTTACCGGCTAAAAGTGTCCCTCTCGCGTGATATTTGCTTTCATGTTTTCTATCTTGGTAATTTTTCGTTACATTTGTTAAATGTCTCCCATATGACGGGTTGGATGCAATGCGCGCCTCCCTTTCAATGAAGTAAACAAAGTCTCTAAAGTCTGATTTTCGCTGCTCTGTTTGTTCAATATCATCGACTTTGATCCGCCATTTATCCTTAAAAAACGAAGGCAGTTTGTCTAAGAGCAAACGGACGGTTTTGATGTCGACTGAATCCGTTCCGCATGGGAGGCTTAACAAGGCATTCATGGTTCCCCTCAACTGAATAGCAAACGTTTCTAATCCCTGGACGTCATCGAGCCTCACCGCGGGGCATTGTATCAGGGTATCGACCAGACCCGACGCCACCTGAAACGGACACCCGTAACGTTTATCCAGCAAACTTACCGCTTCCACGAACCCTCTCGTTGGTGGCAGGTGTAAGCATGTGGAGACAATCTCCCTTGGTCGTCCGGAAGTGTATTGGTATAAATAATGCAATTTTTCATCTTCATCATCTACCTTTGTAGCAATATTTGACTTAAAAGCCCGCATGAAACATTTATATTTACTTAAATCTCCATCAAACGTTGAAATCTCCAAAGGAGGAAGATGGAGTCGTCTAGCCAGGTCATAAGAAGGATTTATGTCGCTACGCACGTTCGATTGGGTTGACTGTGAGGCATGAACGTCCTCTAAGTGGTCCCTAGTTGCTGAGGGCGAATGAGCTGAGGGAGAATGAGAAACATATTGCATGTTTGGCGCGTTATCCCGAAACGCGGCGTCATCACGTTCAGTTTCCTGAAAACCCATTGCAATTCCTTCCTCCTCCCTTTCTAACGCTGCTTCCCTCGCACTGACTTCCCCAATTTGCATTTTCAACTCCAACATCTCCTGCCTAGCCTTAAGTTCCTGCGCTTGGCGATCTAGCAAATGTTTCTGCTCTAAATATGATGCCCTAGCCTGTAGTCCTGCACGGCGTACTCTTTCGGAGACTATCGAAGACGAGGCCGAAGCTTGTGAACTTACTTCCCAATGAATACGTGCTGCCTCGAGGCCAGAAATATCGGGAGGTTTTAATGGTGATCTTGTGCTAAGCCTTGGCACGTCATCAGCGTCCGGTTGTAAAGGCACGACTGGGCTATTTGAGCGGCATGCAGAATTATCTTCCTTTAGGCAAGTTTGAAGTCTCTCAATCAAAACAGATTTTGTCCCTTGTGTATCCTGTCCCATCTTATCAAGCAGTATTCGCAACTGCCCCCGAGTTATATTGTTGAAATTTCCCGACATGTTTAAAAGTTGGGTGTATAGCACCGGGTAGCAGTGTATGCTGACTTGCAAAATGGATGCTAAGCCAAATATGGTGAAATAGTAAACGATAGATGGCTAGCCGATAAGTGCTAATAATATGTTAAAAATAACAAGACAAAGAGAATAAAGGAATTAAGAATAAAGCAATTATGAAAAAACAAAACGTAAAAACAAAAAAACAATAACAAAAGGTTGGGCTAAAGGGATAAAAGGACAGTGAGAACGTGATTACATGTCACGCAAATTACCTACTAAAAGTTCAGTTAAACGAAATTACAAGACCTCAACATCAAGCAATACGTGATCTTGTTCGATCTTGTGTACATACATATAAGTTCGTTTACTACCGATCAGTTAGTACTTAGTAGCACTACTCGCCCTATGTCGCAATGCGCAATTCGTAATCGTATTCGTTAACAACAGAAAATCAAACCAGCTCAACAACAGACAGAGGCCTAAGCTGACCCAACAACAGAAGCCCGAACCCCTACCCAGCAGGTTCCAGAAGACAGCCGTGAGGTTGCTGAAGAACGCCGAAGAATATAATATGAAGTCACTGTACCTTAGATTTTGGGATGATAGATTTGAAGGTCTTGCAGAACTTACTGTGCCTCTCACACAGATCAGAATCGAATTAATCCACCTTGTTGATTCTTCTTGCAGTTTTCGTACTGACGAACATTGGATTCAACTTGATTTCTTAATTTCCGGAGTAAGACGATACCAAACCAATCCAAAACTTTTACCGGTGGAGCCTCAGGATCCAATACTCATTGTATTTAAAAACGGTTTTCTGCAAGAAACAAAACACCAACAGGTCCATAAGTATGACAATTAAAAAAGACAGTCAGTAGCGATATAAGACGTAACCAAATATAAGTACGATAGAAGTAGTAACCAAATAAAACGAAACACATAGCACACAAACACATAAACGCAAAGAAAACTCACGGATTGTTTCAGGTCTGCAGCCACCGGCAAGAACTTGACACCGCCGATTTAACGTTCGTTCGTTGGCGTTCGTATAAGTTCGTTCGTTCGTATAAGTTCGTTCGTTCGTACAGGTTCGTTCGTTCGTACAGGTTCGTTCGTTCGTTCAGGTTCGTTCGTTCCGCTTCGCGCCGCTCACCCGCTCACTGTCCTTTGGTGATTTTGTAAACGGACGCAAAAGCATAAAACATAAAAATGACAAAAAAGCGATACCAAAACCTATAGAAAAATAACATAATCTCTGGCCAACGAAACAACAATTGAATCAGCAAATTAAATCTGACTTCACGAGACAAACGCTAAAAATATATATATAAGACATGTGCCGTTAACATAAGATACCTGCCAACAGAAGAAAAACTCGACAGATTAAGATCCATTTTGCAGCCAACATAAAAAGATACTCGGCTTTAACAGGGAGGGTGTCATCACTGGCGGGTTTTTCGGCTCTCTGTTTCTAATTTTACAGGAACAACTGGGATTCAGCTACTCGCTACACGCCGTCAACGAGTCGGCTGAAATCAGCGCCTGGGACCAGGCCGTCCAGCTGCTCCACCGGGGTGAGGGCGACATGTTCGGCGGGTGGCTGATGATGAGCAACGCTCGCGCCGCTCTCATCGACTTCTCCTTCCCTCTGGTGTCGGACCTGGCGGGTGCCGCGATCGACAGTCGGTACACGCTCACCCTGACCGAGTTCCAGGTCACCCAGCCGCTGGAGACGCCCGTGTGGACGGCGCTGCTCGTCACCCAGCTGCTGGCCGTGCTCGTCCTCTGCCTCATCGCCCGCTGCCAGCAGCGCATTCGCAGCGCGTCGGGCGAGCCTTCGGACGCGGCGGAGCCGTCGTTCTGGGCGCTGATTGTGCTGGGCGTCAGCTGTCAGCAGGGCGCCGCGGTGCGCTCCGACACGGCCAACTCCTACCGGGTGGCCATCACGGCCCTCTACTGGGCCTCGCTCTTCATCGTGGCCTGCTACTCGGGAAACCTGCTGGCAGAGATGACGATGGCGCGGCGCGTGATGCCGTTCGACAGTCTGCAGGAGGCGCTCGAGCAGGGCTGGCAGTTTACGGAGCCCGGCCTCACCGACGCCTTACGCGAGAGAGTGCTTCAGCCGCTGATGGGCAGTGACATCGACCGCCTGCCGATGGTCTCTGCAGGACCTCGGGAAGGGCGCAACATCTTCATGACCACGGGGGCGTATATCGGGCTGGACTATAGCTGCGGCCGGGACGGGCGGCACAGCGCCTGTCCCGTATGCCTTTACCCGGGCGCCACCGTCCATGTGCCGATGGCAATGTCGTTCCGGCCCAACTTTCAGTACCTGCAGCTGATGAACGACCTACTGGTGCGGATGGCGGAGCACGGGCTGGCGATGAGGGAGTTCTACCACTGGACTGGCTGGCGCCCGGAGGACGCGCTCTGCCAGGTCGGCACCGTGGACTTTCAGCACATGGAAAACAAGCCGCTCACCATCTCCAACCTGTGGAGCGTGGTCGCCATCCAGGGCCTGGGCTTGATGGTCGCCACTGCGGTGCTTGTCTGCGAGAGGCTGCTGTTCCTGGTATGGAACTTCCATGACAAACGAGTAAAACGGCGTTCCTACTCGTACCTGACTCGGCAGCTGAGAAGAATGTGATAGCTCTAGAGATAAGTGACAGGAAATGATCAGTTTGACGGAAATCATCCACCAGGGCAATAAATATGGAAGCAAAAACTGTCGCATGACGTAGCATTACTTGCAATGGATATTTTGTGTCATTTTTGCGTTTTTGTATTATCAGCTTGTTTGGTGCCTTATGGAAATATGTATTTAAGTGTAGGTAGGTATGTATAATGTGATGTGATGGCTAGGGCTATGGTGGAAGCATTTGCTTTAGCCTTCTGAGTAAAACAAATGGACTTCCGCCGATTGCCGGAAGTGGAGTTGGTGGAAGCGGAAATCTGGATATCCTTCATCACAGATAACAGTAAAACAAATGGACTTTCGCCGACTGCCGGAAGTGAAGTTGGTGGAAGCGGAAATCTGGATATCCTACATTGCCTACATGTGTTGTCTTACAATATCCTATGCCTTCTCTGCCACATGTCAATTATATCATCACATATGAATATAATATATTTCGGCTACGTGGACCACGTCTGGCAGGCAATAGCCCGCTTCTGAGTCCGAATGTTCCTCAGCTCAGCGCGTGCAGTGCAGTGGAGCGCGCGGCGGCCGAAATGGCGTCCTGTGCCGGGCCCTGGCTGTGCGCGCCGGGCGGGGGCTGGAGCCGAGGGCCGCTGCGGCCAGGGGCAGGGGCGCACGCCGGACTCGGCTAGCAGAGGTGGCCCCGGCTCCACACCACGCGCCGGTGCGGTGGTGGCCCTGTGACCTGAGTGGGTGCCGGTGGACAGCGGACGCGAGTGAACTCAGCCGAGGATCGAGTGGACCGGGGTGGTGACATCGCCTGCTGCAGGTAACCATACACACGTCAGACCACCGCAGGCGCCACGCGGGGTAGGCTGCAGATGAGTTCACATGGGGACATGCGTTTGTGCGAGGGAGTAATGGCCGCAATAGCAATGCGTCTCGGTTTACGTACGCCACTTCCTTACTCATGAACGCAGAGCTGCGCCTCCGCAGATGTGCTGCGACCGGGCGTTCAAGTCTCCAAACGCCATGAGACAAGTCCGGAGACTGCAACGTCCAGGAATGTGGAATTAGCACCAACAAAATGTCTCAAGCAAAGCCGAAGGAAATGAACGCTAGTGATGTTCCTTTCATGGGTTTTAATGATAAGAATAGGGGAGAAAGAGCTTTGAAAGCAACGCTCGGTCATGAGATAATTGTTTTCATGTCAGCATTCTGGGAAAATTAACATATTGGCTGAAGCTTGAGAAATTCGAAGCTTAAGTGTCGCACTTTTCTATCAATAATTATTTTGTCCAGCATGCATATTGCATACGCCTCTGCTCTTTGATAAAGGTGTGAAACGATCGATAAACTGCTACGCATGGCATACATATTGCTACTGTGGCTGCCAATTCGTATCTGGCGTATTGCAGCATCAACAATGAGTGCAAAACAATCATCTCACTGCATTTAAAATGTCGTTCCACGTTCTTCATTCAACAGGACCTTGACCGTGTTAGATCATATCCACAGCGTGTTAGCACTCATCACTATGCCGCTTTTTGCTGACTTATAAAAAAGCTGTCGCTAAATGATTCCCATTCTTACCGTGCACACGAGCGAGTATGGCAGTACTAATGGGTTCGTTGTTCTTATTTACGTAGAACGATGCCTGAATCAGAAATTTCGGGCCGAGGCTATCGACAAAGACAGTTATTTGATCCCATTCGGAGATTTATTGTCGGTCCGACAAAGTCACCAAACCATTCGTTTTATCTGTTTCCCAAGTGGGGTCTGCTGCATCATCAGTCAGGTCCCAGACGCCGCGGATCCTATACCACTCAGAGGTAGACGACGCATCGCCGCACTCACTTCTTTCGTCTGTTCTTAGCGTGTGTATTTTCGGCTCCCATTGGACTGGCACCATACCGTAAAATTCCTGTTGGTGCTTTATTTAGAACGTCTTCTGCCAGGCGAGTTGCAAAATATTGCGTCTAAACATGCTCTTTCCCAGATCCGTCTGGGGCACTACATCGATCCTCGTCTCTGTTGTTTGGGGAGGGCTGAGCCATGTTTTAAGATTTAGCTCTTTGGCGTCTGCTGGAATGCCAACGCATAACTCGTAGCGTTTTCGTATGCCGGCATATGCATGGTTGTATTTATGTACAAGAGTAAAAGCACAACCAAGAAGGGCATGACTTCATGATCGGCGCATCCCGCCTTCATCTAGCTTTCACTCATTTCCGCCTGCTGTGTCTAAGCTCACCTTCATTTGATTGCCACCTGGTGATCTAAATTTCATTCATTCGGTCTCTTGTCATAAGACGACCTCCTGCTCTCATCCCACCACAATTCGACATTCATTTAGCTCTCACCCCGCCTCATTCTGTCCTCATTCGGCCCTGGCAGCTCCAGTGAGCTCGGCGGTGACTCTGCAGCTCCGGACCTTTGTCTGTCCTCGTTGGACGCTGTCTGGCGCCGTCCCGAGTCCGGGGCCGTGCAGCACATAGCCCGTACATCACCACCGGTCTCTGCAGCCTGCAGCCTGCAGCACATCCAGCGCGGCGGCGCGACCGTCACGGGGACCTGGGCAATAGAGAGGCAGCGGCCGAAACCCGGGCGGCGACTGAGCTGAAACATAGCGTCAGCTTGAAGTGTTTATCGAAAATGATGGCGGAATGAAATTTGTTTTTATGTAATCATATGTCGAGTGTTAATGAGTAAGAAACTAGCAAACGAATTATTTTCTTAGCATGATATTGGAAATGGATCCACTTTACCCTACCCCTTTTCCGAGGATGAAGATAAAGGTGCTCAGCTAAATTGTCTTTATTTCATAAACTCATGTAACAAATAACGTATGCCTTCAAGCTCCCTCACCTCATTTTTCTGCAACGCCCTTGGCGCTGGGTGAGAGCCATTCTCATTAATTCTCAGAAGCGCAGCTGGCACGGTGCTTGCATTCGCTCAGGTGCCGATGGACGAAACCCCCATCCCTCCCCCCCCCCCGACACGGGCCCGGGGTACACCCCAAACGCGCGCCGCGCTGGTTAAGTCACGGTTGACTCCCATTATCCAGGCTTGGTATACACGAATGTTTGTAAGCATAGCCTCCGTGCAACTGAAGCATGACATTTCATCAGCTTGCTTGGTTACACTGCTAAAATGTATTCGAGTCAGGCAGAAAACTTCCCACTTACGTGTAGGGAAAGGAAGGTCATCCTCAAGTGAGGCCCCATTCAGTGGCGAAACCTCTTGATGCGGGCGGGGCAACGTGTAGCTTGTGCTGTGCGAGGCAGCGCGCGGCGGTAACTGCGTAATCGACCCTTCATCGCCGGTTCGTTTGACATCATATTAGTTGCGCACTGCATGCAGTATGCGCGAAGCCCACACGTCGAATGCTCGGTAACCACGTGGAAGGCGCAGACTGGAGACTCGGCGTGCTACGCATTTCAGTGTGTGCGAGCGGCCGTCGACTTTAACCAGGAGCCTGCCACTAATAGGGTTAATTCACTGACAGATAAATCACGCCACCATAGCCGTAACGTCACCGTCAACATCTGGCGACGAGACGCGCTGCCGGAATAAATAGGAGCCTGTATTTGTAGTCGACTGTATACGTATTTGCGACATCCACGGATCATAATTTACACCTGCCCAGTTAGGATCTGCGCCAAATCCATCCTTTCCCTGTCGGTGCAAGAGAGAGAGAGAGAGAGAGAGAGAGAGAGAGAGAGAGAGAGAGAGAGAGAGAGAGAGAGAGAGAGAGAGAGAGAGAGCCTCCTGTGCTGGTGGTGTAGTTCCTTGTGTCTGGCTCGTGTATTATACGAGTATAGTGTCGAATATATGTGACTCCTAATCACTCGCTAAAATTTTGCCCTGTGCTGATGTTATCATTGCGCATAAACCATTGATATGAACGATGTAAATGTGAGACACGGCAACCTAGCCACGAATTCAGTGTTCCGTGAGCCAGCTGCCTCTTCGATGCCAGGCCGGACCCTTTCTTGCCTCCACCTCTCCCCTGTGTGCGTCTGTTCCCGACGCCATATCTCAGTGGCCGACCCCTCCCGAGTTTTTGCGCTTCATTCCACGCATGGGTTCGATAGTTTTCAAGCCGAGTCCGCCCTCACCTCTCTCTCTCTCTCTCTCTCTCTCTCTCTCTCTCTCCTCTCTCTCTCTCTCTCTCTC